CCCTCAGAACGCTGAAACTCCATTGCCATTTCTTCACTCCCTCATGTCCACTTGCCTGGTGGACACTTTCCTTCTAGAAGTGTCCTCATCTGCTGTCTCCCACGTCATCAGACGCTCCTGGTTTTCCCATTACATGCTTGGCTCTCCTTCTCTGTCTCCCCCTCGGTCTCCTCTTCTGTCCTCCCTCAAACATCAGCCCCCCAGACCTCTGCCCCAGGCCCCCCCAACACATTACCCCTAGGCCCTCAGCAGTTCTGGGCCGGAGACTTCCGCAGCTCTCTCTCCGCCCCACCTCCCTCCTCCAGTGCTTTCCCCACAGGACGCTCCTCTGGGTGATCTCATGGGCAGGGCACCCAGCCTCAGCCTCAGCCTGTCTCCAGCAAGGGCGCTCTCCTCCCCAGAAGTACTCCCTGCTTTCTGTCCTAAGTAATGACGAGCCCCGGGAGTCTCTGTTACCCTCTCTCTCTCTCCTTCCCCCCACCCGTTGTATTGACGCTGAGCCCTTCAGTCTTACTTGTTCAATTCCTCTTGCATCTGTCCCTGCCTTGATACCTCTGCTCCCACTGCCCCAATTCAGGTCTCCTCGGCCCACATACCCATCCCTGCGTCCCTCCATCCATTCATCCATCCATAAGACGAACACTGATTTGGTACCAGCTAAGTGTCTGGCATTGGCTAGGCTCATGTAAGCTGTGGCTGAAACAAATAGGTCTGTCCCTGTCCTCTGTTTCCGGAGCTTCCTCTGGCCTGGCCTACCTGGCTGAAGTCTCACCTGTCCACCCATCCCCCAGAGTGAGCGGGAAGCCATCCACTCCCTCTCTGCCCTTCCACCTGCTGCTCAAGCCTCTCCTCCCGGGGTCCCCTCACACCGGTCCTTCCTCAGCCTCCACCCCTCCCCTCCTAAACTCCTTAGTAGGAGAATAAGGAACCGCAGGCCTCTGCTTCCTTCTTTACAAAGCACTTCCTCCTTTGACGCATGAAGGATCCCATAAGACAGGTGGACAGGTGGTCTTATTTCCATTTTACCAGTGGAGAAATAGGGTCCCGGAGGAAATGTGACTTTCCCAAGGTCACACCGCTCCTGAGTGGTGGACTGGGGGCCGGGGGCTCCTGTCAATCACAGGTGGGCAGTCAGAGCTTCGGGAGTGTCCGCCCCCACACTCCCGGACCCCAGGGCCTGCCCTCCCCCCCCCAGCGCCCTGCGCCCCGCGCCCCGCGCGCAGCACCCACCTAAGGCGCCCGTGTGGCGCGGCGCGGTCTTGCGTGGCCTCCTGGCGTCGTCGTCGCACACCCACTGCTCGCAGCAGCGCCCGGGCACGCTCACCCGCCGGGCGTGGCGGCACCAGACGCGCGGAGGGCGCGCGCGGAGGCAGAGCGGCGTGCAGCCCACCGCGCCGCCCACGCACGTGCAGTTGTACTTGCAGTTGGGCTGGAAGGACTGGCCGTTGTCGTAGCGCACGCCGTCCAGCACGCAGCCCACGCCGACCACCTCTGCGGACACAGGCGCTGAAGGTCAGGCAGATGGGCTCCGGCGTCCCCCGCAGGGCAGCCCCGCCCCCGCTGGACCACGCCCCCCCCACGTTCACGTCGTAGGGGAGGGGCGAAGGCAGAGCAGTGAGAAGCCACTGGGCCCAGCCGGCGGCGTGGGGGGAGTTCGGTGGCACCTGAGCAGAGGCAGCGCCAGTTCATTTAACCCGCGGAGAAATACGCAGTGCCACCCTGGAGCGGGGTGGGAGGCCGGGACGGGGAGCCAGGTGGCTAGCCCCTGGTCCTGTCCCATCAAGGGGCACAAAACCTGGTCCTGACAATTTTCTGCCTCCAGGGTCACGGTTCTGAGCCCGGCAGTAAAGCCAATTCGAACACTTTGAAACAAAGACTCAGTTCATTCAATGCAAATTTATAGAGTAGTCTAGGTGCCCACGCCCTTGAAAAGATTACATTGTAGTGGGCGACAGAGGAAAGACAATGGACCGTCTAGAATGTTGATGGGGCCAGTAAAGCAGTTGATGGGAGTGCGGGGGAGGGGGGGGATGGTTTGCAGATTTAAACAAGGTGGGCCAGCAAAGCCTCACGGTCGTGAGGATGATTCAGCAAAGATGGGAAGGAGGTGAGCTGCCCAGGCCGGGAGGGGCTGTAGGCGGGAAGGCCTGAGGTGGGAGCAGCCTGGGATGTGGGAGAGGGCAGGGAAGGGTGAGAGAAAGTCAGGAGGCAGGAGATGAGGTGAGAGGGGGCTTCCCTGGAGGCTCAGTGGAAAATACAAAGCTCTTAGAGCTTAGAACTGAGGCTGGCACACAGTAGGTGCTCAATGAGTAACTGTTGAATCAATGATATGAATTATGTTTCACAAAAACACTCGTAGTGCTGAGTTGAGAACAGACTGATGGGTATGGGTGGTGTCAGGAGACCACACTAGGAATCCAGATAAGAGGTGATGGTGATTGGACCAGTGAGGGACAGCCAGGAGGAGAAGGGCTCAGCTTCTGGGTATATTTGGAAGGACCCGCTGACAGATAGGATGCAAGGATGAGAGGAGAAGCATCAAGAAGGACTCCTAGTTCTAGGTCCTGAGCCCTGGAAGGAGAGGGATGCTCTGTCCTCAGAGGAGCAAGGTTGGGGTGGGTGGACTCAAGTTCCTCACTAGACACGAGATGCCTGGTTGACATCAGAGTGGCCGTGTGGAGCTTGTTCTGCAAGCCTGGAGTTCCAGGAGAGATCTGGGGCTGCTGGGCCCCCACCAGCATTCCCACCCTTGATGCCGGGTCCCACCCTAAGGACAGTGTCTGGAAGTGCAAGCAGAGAGCCCAGGGTGGCAAGGGCGTTCACCCGAGGAGGGCTGGTCTGCCAAGAGTTCCAGCTTATCTCCTGGATTCACCCAAAGGTGAATCATCATCATCGTCATCATTATCATCATCATCGTCATCATCGTCATCGTCATCATCGTCATCGTCATCATCATCGTCATCGTCATCATCATCATCGTCATCATCATTATCGTCATCGTCATCATCACCATCATCATTGTCATCATTATCATCATCATCACCATCATTGTCATCATTATCGTCACCATCGTCATCATCGTCATCATCATCATCATCGTCATCATCGTCATCATCATCATCATCATCATCCCTGTATCTAACAGGAGCGAGGGTTCTTGGTTGCCTGACCTGCTTTGTGTTAGCCTTCCTTGCTTTGCTGATTTCATCCCATAAGGAAACGATACCACATCACCACCTGCATTTTCACCTACAGCAAACCTGAGTCTCAGCGATGTTGCATCATGCACCTAAGGTCACAGAGCTCGGCTCAGCGGAGCAGTGAGGGCAGCCTGTGGGAATACTGGGGTGACTGCCGGTTTCCTTGGGAGGTGATTGTGCCGGAGAAGGTACAGAAAGGAAAGGCGCTAACACTTACTGCCCCTCTGATCTGGAGCCAGGCACCATCTGGTATCTCACGCAGTCCTCGCAGGGGCTGCCCTAGGAGAGCTTTGTTTTCTTCCTTTGGCAGAGACGGGAACTGGGGGTGTGGGGTGAGTGCTCGAGGTCACCCAACAGGTGACTGATGGAGCTGCTCCCAAAGCCTGGGGGCTCTGACTCCACCATCCATTTCCTTCCACCAGACACCAGTAAAGGAGGGGAAATAGGAAAACAAAACAAAGCAGAGGAAGCGCTGGGTGAATCACTGATCTTTGCCTCTGAGTCACCCCTGGCGGCGCGCTTTTGCTCCAGGGAGCGTGTGCGCGTGCGCGTGTGTATTGGTGGAGGGGGAGAAAGGAGTGCTGAAGCCCGTCTCTGCCCGTGTGTGGGAACTTCTGGTGGAGAGGGCAGCGCTGTGCTGGGAGCCCTTAGCACAGTGGTTCTCAACACCAGCTGCACGATAGCACCACCGGGGGAGCTCTTTAAAATTTTGATGCCCACACCATGCTCCAGTATATGAGGGTGGACCTGGGTTTCAGTATTTGTTATTGTTTTGCCCTTGGTAGCTCCCAGGTGAATCCAGTTTGCAGCCAGGCTTGGGAGCCGTTGCCTCTAGAAGTTGTTCGCAGTCTCCTGGGAGGTTTAGGGGGTAGGGACAAGCGATGGCTGGTACGTGTGATGGCTGTGGGTTCTCTCGTCAGCGGACTCTGGCACCCCTTCCTTATTCGATTTCTTTCTGACAATTGAAGGACCAGCTCCTGGCTAGATGGGGAAGCTGGCTGAGTTTCCTTCCCCATTCAGATGTGCAAGTCCAGGCATGAACGGGTGGGCTTTCATTTTATTGACGGACTTCAAGGAACTCAAGTCACCTTGCTGTGCCGTCTGGACCTCTACTCCCCTTGCCCCACCCCTGCTGGACTGTCACCTGCCTGGGAGCAGGGACAGTGGGCCATGCCTTGTAACCCCATTGCTGTATTATCACTAACCTGTGTTCACCGCGTGAATGAATCAGTGGACGGATGGATGGATGTCAGATGGGGTGAAACCTACTCCGTATTGGGCTTCTACTGTGTATCAGGCACTCGACATCCTAACCACCCAGAGAGGTAGGCGTTATTCATTCATTGCATTTTTCCTTGATGAGGAAACTGACACTTAAAAAGGTTAAGCAGCTTTCCTAAGACCATTGTACTAGTTAGTTACGGCGCTGGGCTTCGAACTCAGGTTGTCTAGCTCCAAACCCCATGCATGGGTTTTCTACTCCCTCACTCTTCAGATGGGAGAGTCTGCGCTTGGAACCAGCCCTGCCCCCAAACTCTGAGGATGACCGTGGACAAGGCTAAGGGAACTTCTACAAAGGAAAGTTGAAGCACATGAGACACTCACCAAGAGCAGCCTCAACCACCACGCGAAAATGGTTGGATCAAGCTCCTTAAGTGACGTGCCCAAGGTCACGTAGCCAGTAAGTGGCAGAACCAGGAGGCAAAACCCAAGTCTGTCTGCCTGTAAATTTCATGATCCTTCCAGCAAACCACACTGCCCTCAATCCTGACCCAGCTGCACTGAATGCAGTCATGTTTGTCCACGAAAATAGCCAAACAGTTTAATCCAGAGGTCACTCGCTGCCCACAGAGGTGTTTAGTTTGGCCCGTGGAGTGTTTTTAAAAAAAGTTTTCAATGTGTTGCCAACATTTACAAATCATACACAAATCTGGATTTCTTTCTGGATTCACTTGAAAACGGAGCAGACTGGATCAGACCAAGCTCGCTTTTCCGCCTGGCCTCAGTGGCCAAAGCTTGCATTCACTAGTTTGCCATAATCCCTGTGATCCTCTCTTTGAGTTATTTGTGCCAGTGTTGCAACTGCTCATTTTTATTTCCTTGTCCTGGCTTAATGACACGCATATCTCTGAGGACAGATTTAGCCTGGCCTGGGGATCGTCCATTGGTTGTTGGCCATTTGCTGACAGATTGTGTGTGTAGAGGAACACTTCTTTCTCTTTCCCCTCTCGCCCCAAAGCCTCTTCCTCTCTAACGTCTCAGACCCTGGACTCTCTTGTTTCTCGCATTAGGGTCTCATGAATTCAGACACTATGGCAGCATTTCCAGGAAGATGTTCAGTAGCACACTGGTGAATTGTGTGTGTGTGCGTGCGCGCACATGTATGCATGCTGTGTGTGTATCTGAGTGTGTGTGGTGGGGTAGGTGGGTCATTGGGTAAAATTCTGCCTGGAAAAACGTGTTCACTGTGCAAATAAGTTCAAAAAGAAAAGTCCTCTCATGACAGCTCTCTTTTTGGAATTTGACAATGGACGTGAACGTTTAAAACCTCTGAAAATTTCTGTTTCACTTATTGAACCTTATTTATTCCGAAGTCTGTAGACCTATATGACCAGAGAACCCTTGGCAAGTGTAGTACTCATTACAGTCTCCTGAAAACCAGTCTTCTCTTCAAATACAAGGAATGGAAATAGAGACTCATGACGAGAGGGAGCCAGGTGAAGACAGGAGCTGACATTTAAAGACAGAGGGCTGGTGCTAGATTGGGAAGCTGGCTTTCCAGGCCCCTGGTGGTAAAGGCAGGCAGGATAGGCAGTCCCGGGGTCTGTACAGTCTATGGGTCCATGAGAGAATGTCTATAAAGTTGTGGTGCCTGGCACGTGGTGAGATGTCATTGCAACTTTAGGGAATCATATAGTCACAATGAATTTCCTTTTAATGACCTTAAAGAACAGCTGTAAAAGGGGAAAGAAATGATGAGACAGTCTCAGAGACGTGGAGGGGATTCTACTGCGGGAGGGCTCAGCCTGGTTTCCTTACCTGGGTAGGGGGAGAGAGTATATGAGTGACTATATACATCAGCAGTCAGTCTCAAACCTGAGTATGGGAGTGGTCCAAGGAGCTTGTTAAAGTTGTAGATTCCCATCTCCACTTCCAGAGAACTGGAATGAGTAAGTCTGGGGTGGGGCTCAGGAATAACATTTTTAACCAACACGTCAGATGATTCTATGCGGATGGAATCTGCAAGTTTTCACTGAACAGAGTTTTGTGGGGTTAATAATGAGTCTCAGTAAAAGGGGGGAAGATGGAAAGATGGCAGAATCAATGGTAGTTACTTGGACCGCGAAAGACAGATGACTTGGTGTGAAAGCTGAGGCATGAACTGAGGTCAAGAGAGCAGAAAGTGCTCATAAGTTAACCATGATTGTTTTGACTTGGAATTTTGTGCATAACCCTCGTCAACAACCCACTTCAGGAAATATAATGGGTTAACTGAGGGTGAGAGAGTCTGCTGTGTGTGAATATGCAGTGGTGTGTGTTAGAATCATAGTTAGGGGGAAAGCTGGATTCAGCATTAAGGGAAGAAGGGAGTTCTTGGGTTTATGAGGCTTTGCGTAACTTTTCAGAAGTTAGGCTGCTGCGTCATGATGCCTAGTGACGTCTTTTCATCATGCTGGATCAGGTATCTTGAATAAATGCTTAGATGATTCAAGCTAAGTGAATAACAGTCCAGATAGAAGCAGGAGACCAGAAAGTCCCAGAAAGGAGGTCTCTGAGAACAACAAAGGAAATGGTAGAACCCTGTGAAAAGCAAACAAACAACAAACAGCCTCTCCCCTGGCATGGGGCTACTACAAGGGCAAAGAGTAAAGAAAAAGCAAAGGCAAATAGAAACCCCAGGAAAAACAAAAGCCTTCATAATAAAGGAAATTCAAACAAGTGCACTGTCTCATGTCACAGTGAAAAACATTTACATAATCCTAATACTGTAAATAGTGGTTTATAACCAAAAATATGACAATGATATTGGAAGATGGGGGAGACGTCAGGTGGTAGTAAGGAACTCAGACATTAGCTATCATATAGGGATCATTCATAGATTATCCACAATTGATATTTAAAGCTGATCAATGTGTAACTGAAGACATGTATTGAGGATTTGCAACTATCAGAAGAAAGGGCTGGAAGCTAAAAGTGACTGTAGCAACCAGAGGAACATGGGTGGGTGGTAGGAAGGGATGGTTTCAGGCTGCTGGGTTTTATTCTTTCAAGGCTACTAAATGTTTTAAAGCCATGTTGTTTTAATTTACAATATTACTGAAATATCTGGAGCTCTGCAGGGTCCTGGTGCCCCTGGGAGGTCATGGGCAAGCAGCAAAGAGTTCTACCACTAAGAAAACAGAACCAGGCTTAGGTCTTGACTGGTGGATGCCTCTTCCCTGGACTCATGCATGGATGGAGAACAGAGAAGACAGCCAGGTTCTGGGTGCCAGAGGAATGCAGCATCCCTCCCTCCTCAGGAAGAGCCCAGCCTCTGGCCTCTAATCATGGCCTGGGGTAGGGGGCGGGGGGTATTTCCTGCAGAACTGGAGCCAGGCCAGAGGAAGGGCAATGGGTGGGGGTCCCTGGGCCAGAGCTGGGGATGCTGGGGGCTGGCCGGATGGTGTGTGTGGGGTGTCACTTACGTGCACATACTCCTACTGCGTACCTCGGGCTGTCCCCACTGTAGTCACAGTAGAGGCCCCGGTGGGGGTCACAGACAGCAGCCTCCGTGCAGTTGTCCCCGAGCTGCTGAGCACACATCTTACAGCATTCGCAGCCGTCTGTGATGAGGCTGACCCCCAGCGGGCAGCGGGGCGGGGATGACGGGCACTCGCACGGCCACTTGCAGAACTGGGGGTGTGCAGAGGTGTCCTCCAGGGGAGCCGGGGTGAAGACCGTGGCCGTGGGAGCTGGAGAGAGGGCCTGCAGGGGAAGGGCAGACATAAAGGGAGCTGCCAGGTAAGGGGTTCAGAGGCCAAAGGTCTGCAGTCACCTTCCCATCTTCATGGTGTTCAAAAGGTTTACGCGAAATTATGTTTCTCCACCATGCTTTTACTAGCCAGACGTCTCCTTTCTCCTCAGTGCAACCACAGGAGGAGCCGGAGTTCAGAGACTTAAGCCAGTTGCCCGAATTCCCCAGCTGGTAGGCCGGGGGCAGGGGGCAGACCCTAGGTCAGATCTCTGAGCCCCATGGGTGTTTCCTTCCCTTCTGATCATCCCGAAACCTGGGAGGTCCTTGAGTTGGCCTCGATTGAAGGTGATGAAGCTACAGCTTTGAGGAAATGCCTTCTGATGAGTCACCTGTGTGGCATGGCCCACACCCCATCCACCGGTTGCTCTTTTCTCTGCGTCCTAAAGATCTACCCTCTCCACTGAGGTTTCAGGTGTACAGCACAGTGATTCAGTTATACATACATACATAGACACATGCACATATATATACATTCTTTTTCAGATTATATCCCCTTATAGGTTATTAGGAGATATTGAGTATAGTTCCCTGTGCTATACAGTAGGTCCTTGTTAGTTACCTATTTTAGATATAGTAGTGTGTATCTGTTAATCCTAAACTCCTAATTTATCCCTCTACCCCCCTTTCCCTTTGGTAGCCATACATTTGTTTTCTATGGCTGTAGGTCTACTTCTGTTTTGTAAATAAGTTCATTTGTATCTTTTTATTTTCAGATTCCACATGTAAGTGATATGCATATTTAACATCGGGTTTCAGGCAGGTATTTTTATGAATTTTCTTCTCCTTCTTATTTCCCCTCTGAGCCCCAGGAAAGGGCTGCATGGGTGGCTCCTGCAGCTGGCTTGCTCTGCCTCCGTAGGGAAGGGAGTCATGGTCTTGTTGCTGGTGCAAACCATGCAGAGAGGGGTCTTATTTTGCGCTAAGGGTAACGGACCACCACTCCGCTTCCCCAACCTGCACTCCTCCCCAGAACCCCATTCCCATCCCCGAGCCCATATATTCATCTTTATGCTGGCAAATATGATGGACAAGACAACAGGCCAGCGGGGAAGGAGACGTAAGTCCCAAAGGGCCCCCCCTGCGCTGAAGATCAGGCAGATAGAACGGGAGGCTGCTGTGGGATGCCGGCCAGTATTAGGAGCTTCCAACTGCCTGTATCTCAGGGATCCAGTCCCCCGCCCGGCCCCTCCGGCTGCCTTCCTGAACGGCCCTCCTGGCCCCTCACTCTATACTGGAGGAAACCTAGGCCCAGGGAGGAAGGGAATTGCCTGAGGATGGAGAGTGGAGGCTGCATTTTCCCACCCCCAGGCGGTGGTCCCTGCTGGGGAGCCTCCTGTCTGGGGCTCCTGAATTCTGAGGTTAGCGGAGGTGGAACCAGGGCTTGTGCGGGCTGCCCCACGGGCCAGCTCCTCCGTCTTGAACCAGAGCCTGCTCTGTGGGCTTACAGATCTGCGCTTCATTCTTTGAACAATAGATGCTGAGATATTCCGACAGATTCCTTCTTTTCCTGAGGAGGAAAGCGAGATCCAAAAGGCAGAGGGACACCTCCAGGATGACACGGGCCATGTCAGGGCGTAGGCACAAATGACTCTCCAAGCTCTCATTTCTGGGACCTTTACCTCTGCCCCCTCTGGGCTCTTTCAGTCACTCCACAAACGTGTGCTGAGCTAGCTCACCGTCTCTCTTAAGTTTTAGGCATTTGAAGATGACGTTAAAAATGTCCTGTGCTTGTGGCGCCGCAGCTCATAGGAGAGACAGTTATTCGAGGTGATTTATCACAATGTGAGGCCGTGTGTGAGTGCTGGGCACCGGGGCAGCCCCGGGAGCTCTCTGACTACCAGGGCAGGAAGCTCTCTGCCGAGGTGAGTGGTGGGCATCCTTGAGTGCCTGGCTGTGAGAACCAGAAGCCAGGAGAGATGGTCCAGGTTGAAGTGTTGGATTAGCTGGGCTCTTGGTTCTGTGCCCGGCACATAACAAGTGCAGTAAATATTGATTTGACACATTAAGGGCCTTTGAAAGTCAAAACTACAAACCTTGATTTGAGGCTTTCGTCACCTCTAGGCTTGGTTTCAGGCAGGTTTGCTGGTGGGGAGCAGACTTCTCTGCAGGTTGGCAGGGCTGGTCTGTGTTCATCGGGAAAGCATTTAGTTACCTTCCCTTGTTCGCTTTTCCTCGAAAAGTACAACGTGACACACAAAACCCCAAACCCCCAAATCAATGAAACCACACACTCACACACACACACACACACACACACACACACACTCACACACCCTCATCTTTCTGACTCTATGCAGAGAGACTTTTCCTTGTCAGTCTGTGACAGTGGAGGCCTGGAGCTTTATGAAGCCCCCAGACCACCTCTGACAGTCTCTAGACCCTCAAGACCTACTCCTGGCAGAGGAAATTAAAAAAAACCCCTCTCCTCCAGGAAGCCTTCCATGCCTTTCCCAGGTTGTATTAGAGGTGCTGCCTCCCCCACTAAAATGTGAACTTGTAAAGGACAGAGTCTGTGCCTTACTTCTCTCTGTGGGCCTGGAACATGGCTCACGGCCCACAGCAGGGCTGTGTCAGTGTCGCCTGGTGGAATGGATGGATGGGGAATTGTTGACTCTAAGGGGCTTTGGTGTCTCTTGATTTTTCAGGGTCTACCATCTTGGAAGCTTTTTTCTCTGCTCTAAGTTTGAGGGTCAAGAAAACAGCATGGGACCCGAGACAGTCAGAAGTGGGTTCTCTGTGTCCTTGGACAAACTTTCTGAGCCTCCACATCCCCATCTGTGAAATGGCCACAGTAATGCCCCCTCGGGAACTGTTGGGAGGGTGGAGGCACTGTGTATGCAGAAGCACTGTGTATGCAGGCCTGGCAAAGGGCAGACGCTCGAAAGCACGACTTTGCCCTTGCGCTCCCGTGCTTGTGCGCCCTGCCTCGCACCCACACAGCCCAGCACAAGACTTGGGGGTCTGGACACTTTGAACTGAGCTGGGATGGTCTGGAATCTGGATAGTAACCACTTCCACGTGGTTACTATCCATCCTGCTGTCTCCATACCAAGTTAAACCTCCCCAGAAGGAAGCCTCCTTTCCAAGTGCATGCCGGGAGCCCCAGGGCACTCAGCTCCTCAAGGGGAGCTGCAGAGAAGGCCCCCGCCTTGGATGAGGGAAGCAGGTGATGGCGCCGTGGGGCAGTGGAGGGAGGGGCCCCGGGTCCGCTGAGCCAAGCCCTTGCTGCTGGCGCCATCTAGTGGTAGAAATCTGCCATCCCTAGAAGGTCCTGGATGAGAGCTGTGGGTTGGAAGACCTTTAGACCCCAGGGCCTGAGGACTCCTCATTTTGGTGCATGACCCTCTGAATCCCGACTGCCTTGTCCAGCACCCACGCCCCAGGGAAAGTGACTGCACACACACACACACACACACACACACACACACACACACGCATCAGCCACCTTGAATACCCAAGACGGCACTGCACGTCCGCCTGCCCTTGGTCACGGTACAGGGACTATTGCAAACTCACTGGGCCTACATCATTTTTTATAACAGCAGAAGCTAAGGGTGAACAAAGGGAAGGAAAGCAGTCAGAAAGCAAGGAGAATATCTATCGTCTGGAGAAAAAGCCAAAGAGAATCAAGAAGAGCCTTGGGTACTTGCAAATTGCAGCTGTTCACATAAGAGCCTCTTTTACAATGTGCTTCTGCATGCGGACTCCCCACGGACACCACTGTGTTTACAGGAAAGACAGGAGGGTGGGGCTGTGCTCTGATGCTTCCCAGGCTGGGCACCCAGGGCTCAGGCTCCTGCCTGGTTCTGCCCGCGCAGCCCCTCAGCTCCCGGGCTGAGCCCACGGCCCACCTCCATCCTCAGAGCCCCCAGGGCAGTGCCTCACGCAGTCACTTCCTACCGTGGCTCCCAAACTTTGCCGCATGTTAGAACCACCCAGAAGCTTTGATAAACTCTGATGCCTGGCCACTGTCCGCAGACAGCCTGACTGAAGTGGTCTGGGAAGAATCCTGGGCACTGAACGCAGCCGAGGGTGACAAGGGTCCACTTGCCTAAGGACCTGGTTAAGATACAGATGCCTGAAGCCCACTTGGAATATTCAGCTTCAGCTCTTCTATGCTGGGCCCAGAATGCATATGTTGACCTGCACCCCTGGTGATTCTTGTGAGAATGGGAACCGTTGTCTTAGAGAACTGGGCCAGGGGAGGGTAGAATGGGGAGATTCTAGGCCATTTTCCTTTCTTAACATGACTTTTCTAGAACATCACTTACACGCCTAACCTGTCGGCAGCTTGATCAACCTTCCACAAAGCAGTCCAGGCCAGACTGCAGAACACACACCGTTTTCAGTAAGCAGGCCTCATGTAGTTAATTGAAAATGATGTACTTTGCTTTTACTGTTTTGTGAGAAAGACTGAAAAATGAAAGAAATAGAAAAGGAGCAGCTCCCCATGATAAGGCCCCTAAGTGTCAGCTGGGTACTGAATGAATGTGTCCCCTCAAATTTATATGTTGACGTTCTAACCTCTCTAAAGGTCATGGTATTAGGAGGTGAGGTCTTTGGGGAGGGGTGATGAGGTCATAAGGGTGGAGCCCTTATGGCAGGGATTAGTACCCTTATAAAAAGGATTGCAGAGAGCTCCCTGGCTCCTTCCACCATGTG